TAGTACACCCAAAACATGATTAGCCTTCATTTTCTACTCACCCCCATGCTGAACACCACTCTGGAATGTATTCCAAGTGTCCTGAGTGGGTAGCATCCAGAATTTACTCGAAACAAAGTCATTTAGAATGTTTTTAGAGCATAAACAGTAGTGTATAGGATTTCCTGAAAGCGCGCACCTGCGCGATCACGACGCTACGGAAGCCAGCAGACCAAACCAGCGCATTCAGCTCGGCAAAGAACTCATGCTCTTCCTCAACACTGAAGTCCTCAGACATTTTTCTTTCGTTGTTTCTTTCTTTGCACAGGTAAACAGCACATTTCTTCTTCTACGCTTGCATTATTGGCAGAGCAGACGCTGAATGCGCACTTTCATCTGGTTTGGTCTGCCGGCTTCCGTAGCGTCGTGAACGCGCATGTGCGCGCTTTTAAGGAAATCCTATACACTACTGTTTATGCTCTGAAAACATTCTAAATGACTTCGTTTTGAGTAAATTCTGGATGCTACGCCACTCAGGACACTTGGAATACATTGGACGAGCAGTATGGAGGAATATTGACACGTTTTTTGTGGACTTTTATGGACCTTTCTGCCTCGGGCACCATAGACCTCCATTATTTGAATGTCAGCAGACAGCAAGAAGCCTCCCAGATCTCCAGATGCATTTGAGATATCAAAAAAGTACTCCAGGGTGTTGTTCAGCATGGGGGCGAGTAGAAAATGAAGGCTAATCATGTTTTGGGTGTACTATTACTTTAATGTCTTTATGCAGAGAGAATTCATCTGCAAACTATACATTTAGTATCTGTATATTGTAAATATAAGTTTAGCCTAACTTTGCAAGCTCAATATGCAAGCTCTGAATAAGACATACGGTCAATCAATAGATTAATGGAACATATACATTTCTGCCAATTTTTTAAATCTTGACTGCATAGAAGTCCCTTACCAAATGCACACAGATCGAATGGTGAAAATAATCTCTGCATTTAAGGAACTTCAACAGTTAAAATACTGTTGATCTTAAGATATGTCAGGTACACCGAGGCAGGAAAACAGCTAAAAATACCACACCAGCCCCAATATACTTAAACAAGAATTTGAACAATTTGCAAAATTCTTCCTAAAGCTAAAAGTTGCAATTCAATTTAAATGTTCGGCTATTTTTTGTCAGCAAAACGGTTTCATTTCATTATTTACCTTGGGAATCATGTTTTAACTGTTTTTTTTTATCTCAATTTATATTTATATTAGTTTGTTATGAACTAATAGATTTACTGATCTATGATATCTTTACCAACATTTCACATGATAACTGTCAAAGCAGTCTATAGTTTGGATAAACTTTAAATGAATGACTGTAGCCTATTGTTACTTTCCATTGATCCAACATTTAATTCTAGAAAACAAACTCATACCTTGACGATGACAGCTTTTCGCCCGGCGTAGCGTCCAGCCAGGACCATTACAACCTTCCCAGGCTTCATAAACTTGCCCATTGCTGGAAAAAACAAACATAATTACTCCATCTGCAAAAATCCGATGTGAACGTTTACATTACCTAGCGGTCTCTCCCCTACAGCAAGGCTAGTTAGCATTATGCTAACTGTAAGCCAACCTAGCAGTCAATATGTGAATTTCTATGCTTACATAGACTCTCTGGGTGTTTCCCTTAAATTGAGCAACATGCTTTAAAATCAAAACAAAAACCACAAAGGTGAATTCGTGTTTAATAATAAACGAACAACGTTATTAACTAGTGTCCAGCATTAGCCTTCAGAGGGCTGCCATGTTGGAAAGAGCATTCGGAAGGCAAACTAACTCGAACAAAACAAATCATTTTCTTCTTTAATCAAGCGATATCTCACTAAATATCAGGTATATTTTGATAATGGAGATGATTGCCTGGGATACGGGGTAATAGAAACATTAAATTAGGGGAGATTTAAGGCGATGGATGTAGATAAAATTGAAGAAAATTTCACTCACTGATGCTGCTCTACGGCCGCCGCTAGCAGGAAAAGGAAGTCCAGAGGCCTAACATGACCTACGTCACTTCCTAAATAATGTTACAGTACTTAGGAATCCTGCCAAAATAAAATGCAGTATAACTTAACGTATAAACCAAAAACACAGGCTAATACTTCAACACTTTTTAGAAAACATTTGGGGAAAAAAAGGACTTTAAACAAATGTACTTACTTGCAAATATTTGGCAAATAAAGATGATACAAAACGGGAAAAAAACACACATTAAAATATGTCACTCATTTATGATTGCAAAGTAACGATAATAATATCAATAAGAGCTTAACAAAATCAGGAAGAAATGCATAATTTTATTTTTTAACTAAAAAAATTAAAAAACATGCAAAAAATTTGGTCGTTTTTAAACACAAACATTACTTAAAGGGTTGTAAGAGTATGTTGAAGACTATGGCAAAAACAATGGAAATCTGTGCTACTAGTTACTACAGAGGAGTAAGGATGAGCCGTACAATTAGAAATATTGGAAGGAGTTGTTGAAGCTAGTTTGAGAATAAAAGTATAAAATCACAGAGCAGCAGTTTAAAACAAGGCAAAGAATGATTTCTGCAGATGTTAAAGGGTTAATAAAGAAGGCTAAAAAAATAGTTTCACAGCCTCACAGAGCATATCAAGAAATCCTGGTGCCAAGAGCAGAACAGTGGTATGGATTGGGAAACCAGCATTAAAGAATGAGTAAATGAGGGGACATTAGAGATCGAGCTGACAGATGGGATCATAGTCAGTATGGATTGTACAGAATCAGATATAAGCTCCATGGTTTACAAAGGTGACCGACAGGTTGACAGGTGATGTTTGTTTGCAGATGACATGGTGAAAGTAGAAAGTAGGAGAAACAAGGAACTGCAGCTTCGATGTAGTAAATTAGGATCTTCCTTCACCTTTCATGGGGTCAACGGTAAGAACTCTATTGTGGAAAGGAAGATTCTGCTGTGATTATTCTGGATGGCCGTCAGTCTTCAGGATTTTGTTGTGTGATGAAAATGCACATTGATGAGGATTGTAAATCTGGAACCACAGCCTTCCAGAAAAGAACCATGAAAAACCCAGGTCGCACGAATGTGGCGAAGTGAGGAAGTTCCATCCATCCGTCTTCTTCCGCTTATCCGGGGTCAGGTCGCGGGGATAGCAGCTTCAGTAGGGAGGCCCAGACGTCCCTCTCCCCTGCCACTTGGGCCAGCTCCTCTGGAGGAACCCCCAAGGCGCTCCCGGCCCACATAGTCCCTCCAGCGTGTCCTGGGTCTCCTACCTGTGGGACGTGCTCGGAACACTTCACCATGGAGACATGCTGAAGTTCTCCATCATGTGAACATTGCTGTGTCACACCTGTAGCAAAAAACTATTTTGGTTAATTTCCATAAGGAGGTCTGTACCTAAACAATTATTTCTGCAAATGATTGTGGGATTTCTTATAGGTCCTCAGCATCTGACCACCCAAGCAATGTTAAAGGAACTAAGATAAGAAGGATACAGGCTTTTTTTCCTACTTGCTGCCAGCACTATTCAGACAGCACTTACGGCAGTGTATGCTGAGATCGAATTCATGGGCAGCATCCTCCCAGATTATGTCATAGCGCAGCGCGGTGTGCTATTCAGATTGGAAGACTCCTCATTATGCGGCTGAGAAATGCAGCCTTCTTTTTGCCCATTTTGAAGGACAGATCCGTTGTATCCTACACAGCCATAGGTATCCCATGATTCATTGAGAGTCCAAGAAAACTTACTGCCCCGAGCTCAGACGAAAAAGGCAAATGGTGCTGAACAGTGTTGAATATTGTAAGTGCAGTTTTATATAATACAAGTATGTGAATATTTCCGTTTGAAATTATTGGAAATTGTCATTTTAAATGGTTATTGAGTCAGATATGTAGCAGATAATGTTTGGTTTATTAAAAGGTTCTATCTATCCCATTGCAAATGGGTTAACTGTCATTCAGACTTAGACTCAAATTTATTTAGCACAGATTCCAATATTTATGCAGTCTGGGGACTATAAATATGATATTCACAACAATGTTGCTGAAAATCCTTGAAAATGTAATTAGCACATAAGACAATAGTGAGAAGTTTGATATCTATTCTTTGCCTGCTTTGTGTGTCGCGGTTGCTAGGCGACATAGCGTATGGGCAGTGAAAGCTGGAGTAGCCTGGACCTGTTTGAATCTAAAGCCAAAACTTTTCCGGACCCCTTATTTTCACGGACCTCAAACACACCACTCTTGATAGGATAGGATGGGGTGAGATGGAGGCAGGTAATTAAGTTTGGCGCCCTCTAAAGGTACAAACATAAAGAGAAAAACTGTTCTTTTAATTTAATAGATTCAGTTTATTTTACAACTGCAGGTTTACATTAAATATAGTAAAACCAAAAAATTTCATATATCCTCATATATTATCTTTAACTAATTAAATATAGCATAAGTTATTTTAAATGATCCCATGTGAAGCTCCAAGACTCAACTGCTACAGCACAGCAGCTACGTACTTAAAGTGTTTGAATTGCATCTAATAAATAAACATCTAGACAAAAACAAGGAAAAAGTGAGACAGCATGTAGTAAATGTGACTGAAGAAGGTGCTCTACAACGAGAATACAGCTGAAAATACATACAAAGGATTTTAGTGTCATACATGGTAATAAAATAAACAACCAATATGAGTTAAACTGAAGATTAACAGCGTTTACGGTTCATACATTCAGGTCTTCACTGAGATAATCTACTGCTGATGGAAAATAAAAGAGATTCTGGAATAAAAAGGATTCCTTTAATTATGAGATTTCCTCATATCCCGGACGGTAAACTCACTTAATATGAAAAACACTCGGAGCCGAAACACAGGAACACATTCGGTGGTTCGTTTAACATGGCAGAAAGCTGCATGTTTACACCAGCGTCACGCAAAGCGGACATTTTTCCTCTGGCACGGCCAGAGAGCTTCGATTTTGATGCCGTTTTGGTAACAGCATCCGGCACAGTTTCACATCTTTTCCTTCTCTACCTTTCCATTTATGGTAGCTTTTTATCACTCCCACCATGTTTGCTGCATAGGTTCAGGGCACTATCAGGTACAGCAGAGGAAGATGCATGCTGCTGAGCATAGGTCACATAGATCGTACAAGAAGGCTTACTAAAGGTGAGGTAATCGCTGTCGGAGATCTAAGGCATGTTCACAGTGCAAGCAGCGCTGCCGTCTTAGTGGGATATGCAGATTAACACCACATCCATACACGTACTGCTCACATCACACACGTAAACAACCTTTAAAGGGTTAAAGAATACCAACAGGATCATGCTTTTGGTCCCGAACACAAGCTGGTTAAACGCTTTAATGATGGGCCTCGTCAGAAAGCGTCTTTTATGTTCTTGAGCTGCCGTACAGCCAGGTCCACCGGCAGGTTGAACCTGAGGTGGCTGATGCGGCCCAGGATGCGTAGGGCTCCCTCGAAGCCCGTCTGGGCCATGTAGCTCCAGCACTGGTAATGGGGGTGTATCACAGTGGTAGATTTACACAGCAGGTTGAGCCACGACACGAGGCGCTGCTCGTTCAGAGCCATGCACACCAGAGCTTTGAACTCCGTGTCCGGCCCCCTCTTGTAGCGTCCGTGCTCCTTCAGCACCGTGTGGATGGCCCACAGCAGAGATTGCTTCGGGGTCACCGGTCCTGGGCCGACGCCGACGTTCAGGCTGAAGGACTGGGAGAGCTTCCGTGCTGGCGATTCCACAAAGGCTTTCCCGTTTTTGGATTCGTAAAACTTCACAAAGAGTTCCCAGGGGTGCAGGGTTTGTGGGGCGGGTGTGTAAGGCAGAAGGCAAGAGATGGGGGCCAGCACCAGGCTCATGGTCTGCGAAGGGGAAAACAGACCGTGAGCCAACAAGTCCTTCAGAGCCAGCGACAGCTCCTTCCTCACGGCGGTCGTCAGCTCGTCTCGGGCCCCTAAAGTGGACGCGCTGCTGTAACTGACTACATGTTCCACTGAGGGATGTCGGCACGAGCCCAGCACTCGCACCTTCTCCACGGCGGCGTCCAGACGCTGGAGCAAAGGGCCGTAGTCCCGCCCCGGCGAGTCCTGGGGCCACATATTCTGAGGGACGTGTCCGGCAGAGCAGCCGAACTGACTGGCAGCGAAGATCTGCAGCACAGCCAGAGCCTTCTGGATGAGCTGCAGGCCGCTTTCCCGCATCCTCTGCGCCTGGACCGGATCCACTGCAGGGTGGGGGGGGAGCAGTTCACACAGGATGAGGAGGATGTTCCAGTTTAAAAGAGTCCGACGTCTTTAAAAAACCGTCTTACCTTTCTTTTTCATTCGCGCAGCTCCGGCGTTGGCTGCTGCGGGTTTCGGCTGTTGACTCCGCCCACCATCCGGCAAAAGAGGGTTTCCCACTTCATCTTTAGGAGGAGAAGACAAAAATCTGAATAAAAGGCATAAAAGCAGTAAAGAAAAGGCTGCTAATTATCTCAGCGACACGTGGCCATCCTGCATACCCTGGATGAAGTTGATGAACATCTCCAGGTCTCTGATCTGAGTCTTGAGCTGCTCAACCAGCTGCTCTTTGACTCTGGCCGGGTTCATGATCTGAGCGATGGCGGCGTCCACGCGTTGTCTCAGCTCCTCTGGGGACAGGTTCCCAAGGTCCTCGTTCAGATTCACATCCAACTTTTTTATCAACTCGTCAATGATGACCTGAAAACAGAAACAGGGTGAAGATAAAACATCTTCGCTGGGATTTTAAGGCTTCTTAAAGCGTACAGAGTAGAAACTCGTCGAAAAAGCATTAAATTAACATTTTGTGGGAATTTTCATCAACTTTACTTTCAAATTCCAGTCATCAAAATAAATAAACCAGAATCTCTTTATCATTGCTAAAATAATCCTCCGTAAATATTTTTGGTAATTTAAGATTTTGATTTAATTCTAACAAAAAATAATAATACATCAAATTAACTGTTAATGATCAAATTCCAAGCTGAAAAACTCCTGGAATGTTAAGAGTTTATTTTTGTTTTTTTTCTGACGTCAGCCTAATTGATCCCTTTATACATGCCGCCAATTTTTCCTCCATAAATACTTAAACATGAAATAAAAATTTATTACCAAAACAAATATAACATGGATCACAAATGTATAGAGCTTTGATGTGTAACTATCCTGTGCATCTTAAGGCATGGCTACTAAGTATGGCGATGAATCGGCGAATGTTTGCACAGATCGATACTGATGCGGAGAAAAAATAAACCGCTATCGACCAGATATATCAACTAGGGGTGTAAATAATAGTCATTTTGTATCGATGCATCGATACGTCCGCAAGAGAATCGATTCATGTTTTTTTTTCTCCGGTCTATTTTTATCCATTTGCTCCTGGACGTAATTCTCCCTCCCGTGCTGCGGTGGCGCTAAACCTATTTTGCCCTCCTACCTCGCTTCCTGGTTATACTCTTACAGCAGTGCGTTGCAGCAAGCTTGACGCAGACATTTTTAAATTATGCTCAATATTGAAGCGTGGTCTGTGCTACACACTGTGGGTCTAGATACGATTGAGGCGGTGAGGAAGTGGGGGGCGAGTTTAGTCCGACGACGGAGGGACATGAGGGCCAAAAAGAGCGGAGATCCAGGTGATAAAAGGGTTCCAGCGTTCTCGCGCACCTCGCTCGTCTAGCGTGTCAAACTTCACGAGTTGTTTTCCGCAATTTCGGTCATAAAAACAAAACAAGCCGGCCTCCTGTCTGCGGTCAGCTACAATTTGGGAGAGGAGCAGTGGAGCGTCTGTGGAGGGGGCGGGACGTCTGGAGCCGAGCTATTGAATTGCACTGATTTTGTGCAGTATTTTTTATGCAAGGCCTTGCAGAATCTATAACGCAGGGGTATTATTATTTTTCAGTGAATGAGGTTTTAATAGGAATAGGTTGAGTGCAACTTTTCTACTTCTGTTATTATCTGTAGTTTCTCAAAAAGAAAATGCATAACGATATTACAGCTTTGATTGATTTATTTTAAATTTGAAACATTGTCTAGCCTGTAAAGTGTTAAAAAAAAAGAAGAATCAATTAATCGAATCGAATCGTATCGTGGTGTATTCTTGAGTATAGAAAATAATCGAATCGTTGGGTCAGGAAACCGATACTGAATCGAATCGCCATGATGGGTGAGATTTACACCCCTAATATCAACCGACCCATGCAGCGGTGTGTCTTTGATATTAAATTGAAAATAAGGTCTGAGAGAATGGGTCCAGAGTTGGAATCATTGAGCTGTCATTATTTAATGAGCTGTTAGTTAGATCAATCAGCAGGATACTAAAAAAAACAACCAGATCAGGTTGTAAAAGTTAAAATTAAATTTTTTTTTTTTATTAAGATCTGAGCGATATTTCTCCAGACTGCTAAAGACTATAAGTTAGAACACCAAGCTGATGCAAAGCGACTCCTGCTGAACCAGCTGAGTTCAGGTCCAGCAGAACCCAGATATCTGTGAGGGAACCCAGGACACGCTCAACACTTCCTGATCCTGAAGTTGATTCTAAACAAACTCGCTGCTGATTCCCGTCAAATAACCGAGCCCTCAAATCAGGGATTTCCAGAAGCGGTCAAACCTGGTCCTCCTTATGTACATCGCTGAGTTATGCAAACAAGGAAGTGCCTTTTGGTTCTGGGAAGAGCAAACAAGCTCATATTTGTCTAATTATAACTTCAGCGCCCAGTGGATACGTCCTTGGTAGGAGAGCAAAGAGTAAATGTTTTAAATGTTTTCATAAAAAACGAAAGACAAGCATGTTTGGCGTGACAGGGCGGCTGTTTAAAAGAGGAATCAACTATAATTTACTGAAATTACAAGTCATTCGCCTGGATAAACTGTAGGATTTTAAACAAAGCACTAACATTGGATGTGACAGAGCTTAAGCATGTTTGCATTTCCACACCTTCTGTCTCTCCATGACGACAGACTGCGGCAGCGAGTCGTAGCTGCCCTCCTGATAGGCGAAACGTTCCAGGTCGTCCAACTGCGTCTTCAGCTGGAAAATGAGATCCTTTTGTTTTTCCCTCTGAGCCTCCAAACGTTCTCTCTTCTCCCTCTCGCTCTGACAGGAGACACACAAACACAAACACATGGAAAGTGAGAGGCAGACACGTCTCAGGAGATGGTTTTTGGCACACAGGGCGTCTACTCACCAGATCTTCCTGCAAATGAAGCATGTGGCAAAAGAAACAAGAGGTTTTTAGATCAATAAAAAAGTGAGCTGAAAGTTCTCATCAGGAAAAGCAACAGGAATAAAGCAGCATTATCCGTTTTTTAAGTATCTGCAGCAGGCATTTACACTGAATCAAAGGGCAGCATTTTCCCAACGGGGCTCAGAAAACTCCAGAAACAAACACATTAATTCAACACATATATCAGATTAAAATAAAACAGATCACAGAACATAAAGCATGTCACTTAATCTGCATATGTCTGCTGAGCTGCAACCATTAAATCAGATCATTTGCAATCACTTCCAGGATGGATTACATTTTGTGTCAGGATCTGCAAGTTGGGTTTTGATTTGGCTTGTGATTGTGTCCTAATCATGACACCTTTCCTTCAGAGAGGCTTCAACGTTTCCTGCTTGTTGAGTTGAGCTCACTTTTACTTTCTTTTGGGATTGAGACACTGGGAAATTCTTCTCTCTAAGTTATGTAGATGCAATCATTAGTTTCTCGAATTTGCAAAAAACACCTCCATTGTTGTTTCCCCCCTTCCTCCTCTCTCCACTTTCTATCTCCATAATTCAAGAAACTGGCTTTATTGTTTATTTTCCTAAAAAATAAAATCTCATTACTTCAGAAAAATCCTATGTTGTCATTTATTTCTATAAAATTGTATCTCATTAATTCAGAAAAATGTACCACTTTCTTTTTTTTTTCAGGTGAATGCAATATGCTTCTCTAGTTCTTCTAGTTGGTTATTCTGTATTTCTAGATTAGTTCTCTTTTTTCTCATTTTTAGAGTTTTCATTTAATTTCAGTCAGATCTCAAATCTCACCATACAGACTATCTGCATTTCGGTCCAGAACCAAAGAGTGTTTGTCAGATGGAAACGCTGCCTAAGCTGACTTGTTTCTCTCTGAACAACTAAAAAAAAATAAGAAAATAAATAATAACATTCTCCTTAAGACTCCAGGAAAACAAATTCCATAAATATTGGTTGAAATGGCTAAGTTATAGGAATTCTATAGTAAGTTGAGGATCATTAACTTAACATTCGGGGTGATAATAGTGATCTTGTGCGGTACTGTTGGGCAGGACATGGTAATTCTGCACAGGGACTTTAACCTGTTTAACTCTTTAAGGCTCTCTACATACTCTGACCTATACACCTAAAAACTGTTCAAAATGAAAGTTTTTTTTCCGTGATGTATTTTCGTACCCCTCCCTTGGTGACCTCCATATTTTGATTGCTTTTCACTGTGTTCGTTGCAATTTTGTTTATTTATTTTCCTTTATTTTTATTTTATTTATTTATTTTTTCTCTTTCTATACATATACATGTTAACACCACTTTTTTTGTGTTGGTGTTGTATTCTGGAAAATCTTATCAAAAATAAAGTACAAAAAAAAAATAAATAAATAAGCAGCCAGTACTTTGATAGCACGACTAGTTTTGAATGCAAAGGAACATTGATGGCTTACCAAATGACGATCCTTTGCTATAAAAAGTATGTCTTTTCTGCATTTAAATATGAAGTTAATCAACTGTATTTGCTGTTGGTTCATTTATTTGTAAAATAGAAAAGGTGATTCTCAGCTTGGACCCAGTTAATAAGATATTCAGTTCATAAAACACAAATAAGCCATTTTTTTTGGACTCCAGTTACCATAAACTATTGGTTCAGCATCAGTTCATTTTTTTATCTTTCTAAATAAAAAAAATCCAAACTAGAGCTGAAACTAATGATTACTTTGCAAATCAATTAATCTGTTGATTATTTTTCCGATTAATAATCTGATAGAAGACTTTTTATGAAATCAAACCAGGTGAAACAAAGAATTTTCCACTTGAGGAAAACATTTTTATTTTTATCTTAAATGCAAAATATTCATATATAATTTTTTACAATTTTCATATAATTACTGCTCTAAGTGGGTCGCTCTGTCAACTAAAGGCACGTTTTAGAGTCTCTACACTCCAGTTAACGATTAATCGATTACTAGATTAGCTGAGGATTATTTGAATAATCGATTAATCTGAATAATTGTTTCAGCCATAATCCAAGCATCTCTGAGTGAGACCAAAATATCTGATCTTTGTTTACATTTTATTATGTGATATAGAATACCTAATCTAATAATAAAAAAAAAGAAATCTCGCTTTGAAGAATGAATGGATAGTTGAAGCATTGTTGAAATAAAATAGTCATTTAACATCATTTATCAAAAGTATGTTTTCTTGGTGGTTGTGTGTTCTAATTTTATAGCCTATGAACATGTAATGCGATATAAATATTAATTTTCGTTCCTGATTTTAGCCTACTCTAATTTTTGTATATAGAAAATTAAAATGTTTTATATGGCGTTTTGTTTAGTTTTGTTCCCATGTTTGTGAAACATGGAGGAAGATTTTTTTGTTTACATTTTTTTGTAATAAGCTCAACCACATCTCTAGACAAACAGTCACATGTAATTGAGTAAATAAACGTATTTTCCGAAGCCCTGAAAGCCTCACCGAGTTCTCCAGCTGCCTGGCATCCTGAGCTCTGCAGCCCAGGACGTGCGGGCAGCCCCTGAAGGCGAACTCCTCCAGCTCGGCCAGCATCCTCTCCTTCTCCTCGCTCTGAGCGTGAACGATCTGCTTCAGGCGGAACTGAACCTGGGCGAAGTGCGACGTGAGAGCTAAAAGAGACGAGTTCAACAAGTCCTGCTCCTCTTCCAGCTTCCTCAGCCGGAAGGCCATCTCCTCATCCGTGGCTGACGATAAGCCTCTCTGCCTCGGCTTAACGCTGCTCTCCTCCTCGGGGCTGGCTACGGCACCCACCGGTGCCCATCGCTCCCCGGCGCCCGCGAACACAGCCTCGCTATCCGAAGCTGACAGCTCCTCCGTGGACATCCTGGACGGTGTGGGTCAATCCAGATTTTCCCTCGAAGATGTCAGTTAGTTGGTAACTTATTCCCAGGGATTATGCTTTAAAAAGTGTGTAAAATGGAGCAGCATCATCACCGAAGAAACAGGTGAATCGCCATCTTGGGAATGATGATTCATACGTCAACAGAGGAAAGTGAAGCTTCAAGTAACAAGAACAAACCGGAAGAACAGCCACTTACCTTCAAAATTAAAAGCCTTTAATATTAATTAAAAAAACTATTGGTTGTGGAGTTTAAGGACTTTTTCACATAATTTCCTTTTAAAGATTTTTTGATAAACGATATTTTTTCTTTTCCTCTTTTTCTTCTCTCGTTTCTTTTTTTCCTCTTTTATTTCTTTTGGGGAATGCATTAAATGACTATACCTTATGAGTATAGTATTTATATGCATTTGTTTTGTAAATCTTTTACCTATAGACTTTTTTTTTCAGACAAACTCCTGATTTCAAGATATTTTGGAAATCTCTATATCACTTACCAGATCATAAGACGAGTCTATGAGTGATAAACTATTTTTTATATCTGGATCTAGATTCATGTCTTATGTTCTCAGTGAATGTTGGTTTGCATATAGATTTACGCTTTGGCCCTCAAATACCTGCAAGCTTTTTGTAATGTTTTTCCTTTTCTTAACCAGGTTAAATATGATCAATTTTAAAAAGTGCTGATTTTAATTAATTTTAAACTAAATAGAATAGCTTTCATTCAGGCTGCAATAAACCAGATAAAAACAACTAAATATGATCAAAGTTGCTAAACATAATTGTAAAAATGTTTGTCATGATTAGTAAAAATATTTGTCATGATTAATCTTTGCATTAAATATTAAATGACTTGCGACAGAATAATACCATGTTTGAGCATACTTTCTTTACCAGCTCATCATTATTTTTGATATCCTTAATGATATATTCACTTTAAATTGACTGGCCCTTAGGTCAGGCCAAATATATAAATATATCTGGTCCTGCTAATGGAATTCGATTCGAATCCCCTAAAAGCTCCTCTTGTCCGCACAGCTTGTGTTTATTTTTTTCTTGGATACGGCAAACTTCGCAGACTTACCAATTTTCACCTTATGGTTTATCTTCCTTTTAGAATTAGTCAATGACTGAATGCTGGAAAACTGTTAAAGGCAGTTGTTTTTTTAGTGGTTGTATGTGACTTAGGAGGAATTAATTTACTGAGATTCTCCTTTACTTTAGTGCTTTTCATTTCAGAAAAAAGAAATGTATATTTAACAGCACATTTAGATATAACTATGGATCTTTCCCGGCTCAATGCAATATGGGCCTGGCCAGTTTTTATTGGGGCACAGAAAAGCATAAAGCAAAATAACAGGGAAATATTTAATAACTTAAAATATATTTAGAGAGTTGCAGAACCAAAGAGTTACTCGTGGATCTGCATCATTCACGTCAATTAGTTAAATTTAAATTATATGTTGTTCAAATTGAAATTTTATTAAAATTAATAAAAAATTCCTTACATTGGGGAAAAAAAGGAAGTTAGTTGCTATACAAATATCTGCTAAAAGATGAAATAATGCTATTCTTTGGAATATTTGTGACTTATTTCTTAGTTTTTTAGACTTAGTTTTAATCACAACAGAATTAGAAATGAATTAAAAGTGATCAATTCAGATTTGACAACTTAGAGTTTTTTTTTTTTTTTGGTTCAAAATAACATTTAACTGTTTAAAACTGTGGCCGTATCTCAAAATGACTGAAGCTATCACCATCATTTAACTTATAATTAAAACAGAAACGTAAAGAAAAAAATGAGAATGGTCCAAGGGAGCAATCAGTCACTATGTTCAGATCTCGCATAGTATTTCTTTTAGTATTCCATGTTCAATACAGGGGCCATAACAAGGGCCAGGACCAGTACTACAGGGGCACTGGCCTCTGTTGGTCCCTTCTAGAAATGGCCATAAACGTAATCACTTTTGACAAGCAAAAAAGTGCTATTGTGGAGATTTCTTTAGTGTGGGATAGGCTGTGCACTGGAAAAAAATTTAAATCTAGATAAGTCATTTTTTTCTTAAAATAAGTGCATTTGTTCTTGGATTTAGGATGTAAAAGACACATTTTGCCAATGGAACAAGATAATTTACGCTTATAATAAGAAAACACAATTGCATTGTCTTACCTCAAGTGCATGTTATCTAATTATCTTATTATAAGAGTAAAAATACTAATTACATTGGTAAACTATCTCATTTACCTACTCAAATTAAGGGTAAATACACTTAATATAAGGAATTTTTTATTTATTTCTAAATCGTTTTTCCAGGGTGACAAGTGAGATCAGTGAAGTCTAATCACTTAAGCAGAATCATTTAAGGCAGAAATTATATTTCAGGGATTAGGAAAAGGCATCAATTACTGTTTGGAAAGCCAAAATAGTCATATTTGGTTGATTTACTTTTCTTTTTTTCAGTGGTGGATTGAAGTAGTGGTTTTACTGAGATCAGTAGAACCAAAACTACTAAGCCTGAGGTCTTCAACAGGGGGTCCACGACCCCAAAGGGGTTTGCAGAGGTACTGCATGGGGGTCATGAAAGTTTTGGTTGATTAGACTTTTTTTATATTCCCCCCTTGCAATTTTTTTCCACTAATTGAAATGTCTTTAAATCCACATTAACACAGGCAACACACAGGAGCTCTTTCAAGCTGGGCACCATTTCATTCACAACACCTGTCCCATCAACCAGGAATCAGAATAAAAAATACTTTAATAATTCCAGGGCGAAATTAATTTAGTAAAATTACTCCATATGTAATAAAGTGACTATAGGACAGTTTGATGTAAAACAATTTGATACAATATATATAATTAGGGGGTCCCCGCTACATCTTGCCATCAATTTGGGAGTCCTTGGTCTGGAAAACGTTAAAAAACCCTGCTCTAGGGTCAAAAATTGTACTTCTTTCGATAAATTATATTTTGATGTCATACAGTACACTTGGCAAGTTAAATACTCTGATATTTTCAGTTTTACATCATACCAGTAATCACAAAAGTATCACCGCATTGTTTATATTATGAATTTCTCCACCAAAAAAAACACCAAACACTGTTCTAAGGGTTCAAGGTGCTCAGAGTCAAAGCTGCCTTCCTGACTGATGTCTGCATGGATTTTGTTTCCCATAAAATATTTTGAGAACTGAATAATTTTTCTGCTGCTTTGTCAACTTATCTCATCTTTCTGTTTTACACCTAACTTAATCTGAACAGTGGCACTTTGTTAGTGCAGAAGCCAGACCTGGGAACCTATTAAGTGATGTCCTTCAGAAGACTGTCTCATCTGTGTTAAAAAAGGTTTAGTCATTTATTCTGTTTTAAGCTCTCTATATATATTTATTACAGCTGGCTTAATAAGCAAGACTGAGTCATAGCCCGTATCATGCTTCCTTCTCTGAAAATACAAATAAAGGAAAAGTAGGAAAAGAAAATACAAACAATTTGTGTCGATATATACTATTTCCTTTTGTTTTTAATCAGGAAAAGCTGATTGGTTAGATCAACAATTACTTATTGATCCCTTGAAATCAGGCTGCTTTCCTTCTTTCATTCAAATATTGCATGTTTGATTTATTGCAGAGCAGCTAAAAATAAAAAAGACAATAGTTATTATACTTTTAATTAAGAAAGATAGATAGAAGTTTGCCCTGTGATGGACTGGCGACCTTTCCAGGGTGTACACTGCCTCTCGCCTGTAGACAGCTGGAGATAGGCATCAGCATCCCTCACGACCCCACTTGGGATAAGCGTGACAGAAAATGGATGGATGGATGATAGAAGTTTCCAGGTCTATTTTTACTTAAACTTTTTGCTCCCCTGGATGCATCCACACAAAAAAAGGAACAGCTTTTATTGTATCAGTGAATGGGTGTGAAGCTTTTGGACTAAATGCTATTTATTATATTATTACACAGCAAAGAACGACAAATAAAAAGATGAAAGTTTTAATTTCTTGTTTATTGTTTGGATGGAAAACAGAGAAATCAGATCAGTTCTTCAATACGCTGCACCAGATAAAATCCACATTCGGTTTTAGTGATTAAACCTATTGAACATAAAATAATTTCTTGTGAGTTAAACTGATTTACAAACTTAAGATATTTATTTTTATTTTTCATCAGTAATTAGAGTGTAACAGTTAACCCACAGTGATTATTGTTTAATCACCATGAGGAGAAATAAAAGAAAAACAGTTTTATTAATTAATAATTTTTGATTAGGAATGCTGCAGAAGACTGTGACAGGGATTAAATGAGAAGATTAATATTACATGTGGAGTGTTTCAGTTTTCTTCTTGATTAGAGTTTCAAGTATTAAACTGTGTGTGCAAGAGAATAAAAGGAGCTTGTATTGCATGGAAAACCTGCAGACAGGAACCTTTTAATCCAAGCCCACCTACACTTACAGCTCTGTTTCAATGCGCTCCCTTCATCAATTAGCACAATTACCTAACAAAAAGTATTGAATGTATTTTTTTATTATTAATTTAGACATAATCTCAGCATCCTAATATTCTCATAGAATAAGTGCTCTCTTCTTGTTGGCGAGGAACATGTTTCAGTTCAGCCAGTCGAGTGGCGAGCTCTGGGTGCAGGAACCTTCATCAGTGCAGGTGGAGCCTTGAGGGCAGCAGTGCTTCATGTCGCTGCAGCATACAGCCTGTGGGGACAGCAGAGGGCGCTCTAAGTTAAATAAATCCATGCTTATGGGTGCAATAAAGACAGAGCATAATTAAATTTACCCCCCAAAAAATTAAAGGATAGCAGATGGAACACAAGAGATACATGAACACTTGCACCTTAATCCTATTTATCTTGATATACTGCATATATATGGATATGCTGTATATATATTGCTTATTCTTAATGCACCTTTTTCCTCCCTGTTTGCACCTTCTGTAACTTCTATGCCAATATGTGACGAGTGAATTTCTCCGCTGTGAGATCAATAAAGCTCATCTAATCTAACCTAATCTAATCTAATCTAATCTAATCTAAATGCTATTAAGTCTACTTTTCATTCACTTCCTTAATTAGGTTAATGTTTACAATACAGACTGACATTACATGTAATGTAGGTCTGGGGAGCATTTAAACCAGCACTATACTGAAGTTAGTTTTAGGCTGGATATTGGACTGAGGCGTCTCATCTGCACAGCTACATGTAAAAGATGACTCACTGCTTCCTCCGAATGATTACACAAGTCCAGAGGTGGGTAGTAATTAGTTACATTTAGTCCGTTATGTTTTCTGGAGTAACATTTGAAAAAATGCACGTTTAAGATTACTTTTACGTGCTGTACTTCTTACTTTTCCTTGAGTAATGTTCTTGTAAAGTATCGTTACTCTTATTTAAGTAAAATCTCTGACTATACAGTTCTCTGTGAGTAATTTCAACTATTCCACAATCATGTAAGAAAACAATTAACAGTAGATATTATCTGTGGAAGTTTGTTAACGTGTCCTAACAATTCTCATTGTAAGGATTGGTTTACAAAAATGGTAAAAGTATTGCTTCTGTATGAATTTGTTCTTCTCTGTATAATATCTGTGAAGATTCTCAGTCATCCAGGTCATGGTCAAGCTTGAAAAAGTTCAGTCTAGGCAACTGGACGTGAATTTTTTTTATTTTTGCTTTTCCATAGAGGACGTTTAACCTCTCATCCATTCTTCTCTGTATATTCATGACATTTATTTGTATTCTTTAGGCATTTGAGTCTATAAATTGCCAGGACTTGCACATAAAGTCTGTTTGCCAGCAACAATTATAAAAATTAAATCTCTTATTATCAAACAGTTACTTGGTACTCAAGGGGCCTTTAAAAGCAAATACTTTTTTAATTTTACTTGAGTAATTTTTTGGATGACTATTTTTTACTGTTACTTGAGTAAAAAAAAATTTATTAAAGTAGTGCTACTCTTACTTGAGTACAATTGTTGTGTACTCTACCCACCTCTGCACAAGTCTATGAGTCAAAGTTGGCAATCATGTTGGATTTGTTTAGCTGTAGAGAACACAGGAGGTACTACAGTAAAATAATAACTAAGAGAGATTACCTTTGCTACTTTATACAACACAGTCAAATAGTCACAACTAAAAGTTTATTTAACCAAAAATAGTTACAGACTACACCTTTAGGTTTTCTCACCTGACCAAATTTAGAAAGGCTAAAAAACAACCAAAGATTAGAGATGCTGAGGCAAAATCTACGATTAAATCTAACATTTATTTACATTAGTGCTAAACTGAGCTGAATTAATCATAAGCTGTACTAATCAGAATATAGTTCAACGGTTCAGCATTAAGAGGTGTGTTGATCTTCATCAAATATCTCTTATAATTGAATGTTGCTTAGGCTGAAAAATTGCAGCAAAGTTTGAGAAAACAGTTACTATATTATGATGGAAGTGGGGCTGATGTGCAAATTATATTTTGGTTAGTTCAGAGTTGCCTATGCTTGAGAATGTATATGAGGTCGAAAGCTGATGATGTTCGGACATGGTGGAAAATCAAACATATTTTCCTCCTTTAATCATCTGATTCAACAAAAGAAATAAAACTGCATAGTCATTTAAAGTCAGGGGTTCCCAAAGTGGAGGTCACAAGACACCAAGTGAAGGTTTGTGAGATGCTTTTCGCAAACATTTTGATGTGATCCCCGAGCCATATGAATGGGCGAAATATATATCGGGAAATAAATAAATGAAAATGTCCCGTGAAAAAAAAAAAATACATCTAAAACAAAACTGAAATATTGGATATACGTTTAAATAACTAATGAAATGTAACTCTAAATAAATACAAAAAACATTTAAAAGGATGACGTAAATAGTGAAATGTCATTCAAAAAATTATATTTGTTTACAAATGAATAAAATCATTTCACTTTATATGTATAAATGAAAATAGAGAATATAATTTAGTTGATATATGTATTTTCTTCTGCGATGGACTGGCGACCTGTCCAGGGTGTACTCCCCCTCTCACCTGTGGACAGCTGGAGATGGGCTCCAGCATCCCTCGTGACCCCACTTGGGATAAAGCGTGTCAGAAAATGGATGGATGGATGAATTTTCTTAATATGCTTGTGTTTTCAGGGGTCGCTCTTCTATCACATTATTTTTTATGGGTTTAAATGTTTGGGAACCCCTGGCTTAAGCCATTGGGTCACAAAGGTCCACGTTTCTTACATTAGGAGATGGACAGCAGCCCCAGGTGGTGGATGATGTCCTGCAGCAGGTCTCGTTGTCAGGGCAGCTGGTCTGCTCGTCACACAGGACATCTTTGTGTTTTAACGGAGTTAGCTGAAGATGGTACTCCGGTAGAAACACTGGTGTCAGTGGGAGAGTCTCCAGCTGCAGCATGATGGCCTTCTGGCAGGTCTTAGAGAGGACGTCACAGCTGTAGCCCTGTGGGCAGCAGTGCTCCTTATCTGAGCAGCACACAGCCTGCACACACAGAGAACATCGGCCCTTATTTTACATAAGCAAACCCTGATGGAGCTAACGTACACTGACACAGCACTTTATATTTTCCTGTCAAAGCTTCTGGTTCTCATCTCACATTTTGCAGCGGGCAGCAGCCCCACTCGCCCGTAAACAGCATGCAGCAGGATGTGTGTTCAGGACAGTGGTGGTCGTCGTCGCACCGCATGTTGCTGTCATCAGCCTGAACTCTGCTGATGGCTGGGATTTTGGTGTACCACGGGATCTGAACTTCTCCTTGGAGGCATGTATTCTCCTCCTCGTTGCATTTGTAGCCTTCAGGGCAACAGTGGCTCCCATCGGTGCAGCACACAGCCTGGAGGCAGAAGTGAGAGACAGAAGTGTCACTTTTCATATCAGCCATATGGTTGTCACTTCTGCTTTTTCAGTGGAGTAAAGCCAAAAGTGAGCCACCACAGAAAAATATGGTGTTTTTTAAATTTTCATTTTCATTTTCCTGGAACATTGTGTGACATTAAAGAATATTCACATATCAGGTGGATGTCGAGAAAACTGTAGATATTGTATGCATTGCATACTGGGAAAACTGATAAGTTAAATAAAGCTCTTTACAGATTTTTTTGAGTGGTGTGAGAAACACAGTAGTGTTTACACGTCACAGCACTGTGGAAATATGTGACAGCTATGTGAATGTCTTATGATGGAAAACAGAATTGAAAGCAGCTTTGAAAGACAGAAATATCAGAGGAACTTATCTGTGAGGTTGTATTAATAATGCAGTTTATTGGGGTGCATAAAGACTCCTGCACTTTTGAACTTCACAGTTTTTTGTTGTTTCTTTCTTAACACTTTTATTTATGCAGATTTTTTATTTTGCCTCTTGCAGACTCCATGCATATAGGATTAGTAAAAATCAACACACAATTTACTTAAGTTGAATAATGTAGACCTGATGGTAATATAACTAAAGAGAAGCGAAGCTGCCATGTTTTGAAAAATACTGGTGCACCCAACCTTCTTCATTACAAAGCAGAAATCTCTAAATGTCAAACTTTTACAACCTTTAAGCATTAAAATCAAAGAACTACATGACAAAATGGCTTTTTTTCACAATTTAGTTTCAACATAGACAATAAACCACATGGAACACTGTTGTTTGAACAAAAAAGATAAATTGCTAAACAAAAGAAAAAATAGAGACACAATTTAGCTACATGAACTATGGCTAACAAAGAGGTTATTTTGTTAATATTTTTGAAATATTAAAAAAACTCTCCTCGGAAAAGAAAATGCCATAAAGGGAACAAAAAATGTCTTATTTTTAAGGATCTACTTGTTTATAAAAAATTAACTTCATGATGGGGATTTCCTTCAAGAATTATGACAACCAACCTTGCTGCACTTTTCTTTTGTATTGCACGTTTGTGTCAGTACACAATTAGTCAGTATGCCATCTAAGCTCGTATCACAGTTTGATAAGTTTTATTCAACATATTATATATATAAAAAAAGTTTCTCCCTGTTTGCTTGTTTTTATTGTGACATCCAGCTGCTGCTTCAGGTTCTTTATAATCTAAAATAATTTCTGCTACTTCTCCATTTTTAACATGCATGATCAAATTGTTAGAGCATATCATTCCGTTACTTTGTTCCTGGTTTTTGTATTTGGCTACCTGTTGTTGTGTTTATAAAGCATCCTTCCTACCTGCTCATGATTTCCTTACATTGTTTCGAGACCAGATGAGAACTTATAAACTTACTGAAAGCAGAACAAAATTGGCCTCTTGGTCTGATATCTTGCATTTTATAACCTGCTATGAAAACAATAAATTGCATATTGAACAGGTTGTACATACTGTGATGTGTGTCCCACAGAAAAACCAAGGCAAAAAAAAAACACATCACGAGCTGTTGTGGAAATGAAACTGAAGATTTGGCATTTTAAAGCGGGTGTAACCAGAACTACCGCCACAAACAATAGCCACAAACCACAGAAAAGACTCTCTAACCCGAGGCCATTCTATAATCAGCATCTTTTACTATTAAGATAAATTCCTACAAAGTGTTTACTATGACTAAAAAATCTGCAGGTCTTTCTTTAAGCTAGAGGACTTTAGCTTGAAACTTATTAACTACTTTTTCTTTCACTGTACTATAAAATGTTTAGCGGGGTAATCCAACCTTTAAAACTTGGGAGGTCATAGATACAACTTTTTCATTGAAACGGTACATTTTTCAAAAAATATAACAGCCACAGAACATCTAAAGGGTTGCAGAATAATGTTATTGATTTTACTAAATGAAATATTGCTTTAAAAATGTAGACAGTCCAAAATATCTAAACATTTACTTCTGATTATGATTCCAGGGCGAACGGATTAGAATAGAAATGGTAGATTGAAGTCACTATTGTTCACTGACCAGGAGGAGTTAAACCTGTAACTTTTATCTTTAAGTCTTTTTTTTTTTTTTACAGCAAATCTCGCTTTAATCCTTATGTTTAGATTTTTTATCTTTAGGTTAATCCTGTTAAACCCAGTTGTGAGCTTCGCAACCATTTCCATGAGCCTTCAGCAACAAAACCAAAACCAATACGTGTTAACTTTAAGTCTGTGTCTGTAATAAAAAAAATCAGAAAATGGTGAGAAGATGTCAAATTAGGGCTCCACAAACAAAAAGTTTGAGTAGTTTAATTGGATCTCAAGTATTGGATGGAGAGAAGAGAGGAAAGAAAAGATATACTAGAGCTTAACTGGGACAAATAAAGGAGGTGGGACCAAGTCATTGTATTCCAAGGTACTGGTGAGTCTAAAGACTTTATAGTCAAGTCAGTTTGAGTCACAAGTTGAGACTAATTAGTCCGAAATCAAGTCCAAGTCTTACGCTTTAAATTTCAAGTCATGAAGAGCTATCTCTGAAAAGAACATAACTCAATAAGTCTTAAATCTGAGATTTAAGTCTGACTTGAATTAAGTATTCAGGTCCAAAAACTCTTGTAAATACGCTGAATTGAAATGTTTTCTGTAGGTCCAAGACTTAACGTGAATGAAGTATAGACTGATGCTGCTACATGCATAGCAGGACAATCCTCTTTGTGATGTAAAAAATATCTCCCTTCAACTAACTTTTGGTTAATCGTATAAAAGCTCTGATAAAACACAGGATAGACTTGGCTGGTAATAGGAGTTAGTGAAGGTGGGTCATGACATTAAAGCAGAGCAGAGCTTACCTTCGGCAGTGGGCAACAGCCCCACTTTTTAGATGCAGCCATGAAGCAGCAAGTGGTTTCCAGAGGGCAGCTGGTATGCTCGTCGCACTGATTCCTGTCCTCTTCTGTCCCCTCCTCTTCATCATCTTGTGAAGGAATCTCTACATTCGTCTCTGGTGTGCTTGTCACCAAGCTTTCAGTTGTTGTTGCCACTGTAGTGGGTGCTGTGGTGGTAAACACAGGGATCTTCTTGAACATGGGGGTTGACCCTGAAGCTTGTAGACAACTTGTGCTGGTCGCATCACAGGTGGTGCCTTCAGGGCAGCAGTGCTCATGGTCGTGACAGCAGACCGCCTATGACACAGAGTATAACCAAACATTCAATCTCAAGTCATCAAGTCCAATACCACATCTCTAGGTGTTCGGGTCCAGTGGCTACAGAACAGCTCTAAATCATCAGCACTCAAGTCGTTTGCAAACGGTTTTATAGTGATATCCGAACCGATGGTATAACAGTTACTTAAGAAGGCTTGCTGTTGATGTCTTTCCTTCATGACACTGTGTTATCAAACACCTACCAGTGAACTATTTACCCTATGCCTACAATAGGGCTGCCTGACCTGCTGATAATTAGTTAATAGAATATTCCAAGAAAGTTCAAAAACAATTCACTGGACTTTTTTCAAAGTTTGAAGACGTTTCGCTTCCCATCCACAAAGCTTTTTCAATTCAAAATGTCAGAAATAGCGTTGAGTTCAAGGCTTTTTAGAGTGGACCAAAGCAAAGCCTTGTTTTGGCTTAGAAACATGAAAATTGAACCAGACGACCGGATTCGCCCCTTTGTTTCTCCTATAGCCTGTAACACCCAAAACCTTTCTATGTCTCTGAAAGGGGGGTCGTTAAAGGGAATTGTTGGCGTGGCTGAAAAGGCTAGGTGCTCTGGTCCCCTGTAATGGGATGGGGGTTGACCTGGATGACTGAGAATCTTCACCAGCAGTTAATAGAGTATATTCAATGATTTGGACCTGTCACTGATTTCACTGTTAAGTCAAATGGAAGCAAAAAGGATGTACTTTTTCTTTCTCTTAACTAAACCCATCAATACTTCCAGTTTAAGCCCTGGAATGCGGCATGAGCAAATGCATTTTAAAAATCGGCTGGTCATAAACTGTAGCAAATGTTGGTTTGTTAACCTTAGGTAGAGGACAGCAGGCCCATCCGCCCTCTTTGTTTTTACAGCAGGTGGTTTCATCAGGACAAGAGGCGGTTGCGTCACAGGTAACGTCCTTCTGTAGTGTCTTCTCCTCCAGTCGGGGAATTGATGGTGTCTTCTCGACCCATGGCAAAGACAGGAGCCCATCATCGCAGGTCTGTGCTGCCAGGTTGCATTTCTTACCTTTTGGACAGCAATGTATAAAATCTTCGCAGCAAACAGCCTGAGGACGACATATTGGGATGAACAGAAGCACATCAGTAGTCTGGAAGGCCCATTTTGCCTTTTAGATTCAAATGTTTTAGCTACAACTAAAGGAGATTACCTCTGGCATAGGACAGCAGGCCCATCCACCCTCTTTGGTTTTACAGCAGGTGGTTCCATCAGGGCAAGAGGCGGTTCCGTCACATGTTACATTCTCCATCCGTGTCTGCTCGCCCAGTCTGGGAATGGAGGGTACCTTCTCCACCCAGGGCACGGATTGTAGCCCATCATCACAGGTCTGTGCTGCCAGGTTGCATTTTTTACCTTTTGGACAGCAATGTATAAAATCTTCGCAGCAAACAGCCTGAGGATGACATATTGTGATGAACATAAGCCCATCAGTTGTCTGGAAGGCCCATTTCGCACTTTAGATTCAAATATTTTAGCTAGAACTCAAAGAGATTACCTCTGGCATAGGACAGCAGGCCCATCCACCCTCTTTGGTTTTACAGCAGGTGGTTCCATCAGGGCAAGAGGCGGTTCCGTCACATGTTACATTCTCCATCCGTGTCTGCTCGCCCAGTCTGGGAATGGAGGGTACCTTCTCCACCCAGGGCACGGATTGTAGCCCATCATCACAGGTCTGTGCTGCCAGGTTGCATTTTTTACCTTTTGGACAGCAATGTATAAAATCTTCGCAGCAAACAGCCTGAGGATGACATATTGTGATGAACATAAGCCCATCAGTTGTCTGGAAGGCCCATTTCGCACTTTAGATTCAAATATTTTAGCTAGAACTCAAAGAGATTACCTCTGGCATAGGACAGCAGGCCCATCCACCCTCTTTGGTTTTACAGCAGGTGGTTTCATCAGGACAAGAGGAGGTCTCATCGCATGTGACATTCTTAACCTGTACCTTCACAACCTTTCTGGGGATTGTCGAAATCTTGTTGAACCAGGGGACAGAGCATGTGGCATCTTCACATTTCCCTGCCTCCATGTTACATTTTTTTCCTTTTGGGCAGCAGTGGATAAAATCTTCACAACAAACAGCCTGAAGGGGATAAGTTTGGAGAGATGGAAATCCATTAATACCCCAAACAGCATCATTTTTAGATAAATAAAGAAAGAGAGTCTTTAAAAAAGCATTACCTCAGGTAAAGGACAACAAGCCCAGTCACCCGCACTGTTTTTACAGCAGGTGCTGTCATCAGGACAAGCAGCTGTTTCATTGCAAGGTACATTATTGGCTGAAGAAAAAGAGAATATCTTTGTCAAGTAAGCAAATTTATCCTGCTAAGAAAAAAGTGTGTTCACAGCTTTTAACAGCTCTATTATCAATTAGCTACACATTTCTATTCATTGTAATTTAGAAATCATAGTAGATCTTTGAAATAAAACTACAAACTTTGCAGGTACATGAAGGTATCACTGGGCTTGATAGACTTGATCTACAACATTCATTTTAAGGGCTTGTATAATCAAATCATTTATTGTAAAGTTTAGACTGAGTCACCTGTTTTTGATGCAGGAACCTAAGAAGGGAGAGCTTTGATCCCTAAGTTCACTTCAAATTAAGTGTTTAGTTTGATAAAACAAGGTTGGACATCTTGGGCTTTATGGTGACGTGTTTGCAATCCCCATCAAAAAATAAAGGAGTGCATGGAAAAGCAACTTTTTGTAATTAAGGTGGAGGACCTGCAATGCTTTTGGTCTATGAATGTTTTAAAATACCAGGACATTTTCTAATAAAAAACTGTTGGCCTCATCTGAAAAGGGGGTAACCAAGGGATCAATGAGCTGCATATAGGAGAGCATGTAAGATGACTTCAGACTCTGTAGGATTTGAACAATTTGTGTAAAAATTAAAAGGTGTATATATTTATGTTCCAGTCTAATCATAAAAAGACTCTTATTTCAGTTTAAACATTAACAGTGGGGGTGTCTGGTTTCCATTTAAAGTTTGGGGCAACTTTTCAGCAACTTCTTTACAAAGATGTTTTTTTTTTTCCTTAGTTCATCAATCATCTGTGCATTACATAGATAATAAAGTCAGTGTGTAACCTTTTTATTTTAAAATTGACTAATAATGCCTGATAATACTTTCAAGAAACACAAAGTGAAATCACACCTGCATCTGCCTTAGCAACAGATGACTCAGTCACTTCCTCTTTCAAGGAAGGAACTGGATTGGCTGTGGTTACTTCAGTGGATTTCTCAGTTTCATCCCCGTCTGCACCCTTGGCAGTTATTTTTTCATCCTCTGGAAAAACACAAAGGTCCAGTTTTCTTCAGAATGCGGAGGTAACCTGCAATGGGGTTTTTCTAAGTAACAGGCACGCATATAGCTGACCTTTCTGGTTCTCCCAGTCTGCCCTCAGCCTGGCAGGGAACTTGGCCCACATTGGCAGCACTTTTTTGGTAGATATGGAAATGCATTTCATTTGTTCAGTGTCGCATGTTGTCCCATCAGGGCAGCAATGTTCCTTATCCTCGCAGCACACAGCCTATTTGGACAATAAAGTCACAGGTCAGATCACGATAAGACACAATAAAGACGTGATAAGTTGGATGTAAGTTAGCGTGGGACATGCAAATCCATAATTTGGCTTTTTACCCCCTTCATATCTTGCTCATAGTGTGAAGCTCTTCAAACAAGTAAAATCTGATTACTGCATACCTTTGGCATTGGACAGCATCCCCACTTGCCTTCTGGAGTTTCACAGCAGGTTGTTTCATCAGGACACTCTGACACGCCATCACTACACAAAACTGCTGCCACATTTTCTTTTGCAAAAAACAGAAACATTACAATTATTTTTTTATAAACTAAAGTGACACGGGAGAGGAAAAAGCCAAACACTTCAATGAAATCTACCTTTCTTGATGCAGGAGCGGCTGTCTAAGCTGCACTGGTGGCCCTCAGGACAGCAGTGCTTCCCATCAGAGCAGGAGACTCCCTGTTAGTGCGCATCAAGTTAGCAAACCACTATGAAATCCTCTCACACTTACTTAGACAACAGGATTGAAAACGAACACAGACATTATTATGCCATTTCTATCAAATATGTTAGCAGTACACTAAAATTTTTTTAAATCTAAATAACGTTTTTTTTTCTTAAAATAAAAGCATTTTTTTATTAAGCAGTTAAGTGATACACTTTGCCAATGGAATAAGGCAATTTACATTTAAAATAACAAAAAAAACTAGAGTCTTTTATTTCAAGAGCATAATATCTAATTATCTAACTTTATACTTGTTTCAATAGTAGAAATGTTCATTCCACTGGTGATAATCTTATTTACCTGCTCAAATTAAGGGTAAATACACTTACTTTAAGACATTTTTAGATCATTTTTGCAGTGTACAAACACAATTTCCCCAGAATTAGAGAATGAAGAGAAGCTTTGTCATTTTAAACTATCATACATACATCTATAAAGAAAAACTGTTCAAGAAAGAATATTATAAGGAAAATATTATGTTGGAAATAAACTCTTTTAGTTCTATGACTAAAAGAACAAATAAAGTACTTTTTACACCCTAAGAGGCTGCATCAGTTATCTAGTACCTCTAATTTTAACACATTCCTCTTTGTTATAACTCCAACATATTGGAGGACTTAGAATCTGAGCAGCCTGATTTAGGTCACAGCAAAATAATTTAATCAGACTTAAATCCAATTTTAATTAATTTAACCAAAAATAACTTTTTTTTTAATCATTAATAGGTGGAAAAAATAAAACCAGCAGCACCTCTGCTTAAGGTTAACAAACTCATGGCTGGAGTGGTTTTGAAGCAGCAAAACAGCCCATAACATCACACTACCACTACCATGTTCTGCTGCTTGCATGGTGTTCATTTCCTGCTGCTTTATGTTTTTTTTTTTTAACCCAGATGTAATGGGAGAAACACTGTAAGGTCCTAGATTCACATTAGCCCACAAAATATTTTATTTTAGCTAACTTCATGTTGTTACTCAGGTATTATTTACAGCATTTCTTAATTCTCTGGGTATTTTTTTTTTATCAGACAAATGTAGTACTGCTTTATGCACTAATCAGAAACAGAACTCTAGTTCTGTGTTTCAACTCTGCTTGTCTGGTTACCTTCGCCAAGGGGCAGCATCCAAATTTAGTCAAAGCCTTCAGGCAGGAAAACTCAGCAGGGCATCGTGACTGATCAGGACAGATGTTATCATCGTCCTCTCCCATGTAAGACTTGATCATCCTGAAGGACTGCAGGGACAACGAATAAGAGACACGCTCTAAATAATTAAACCTGGTTTGTGGACAAAAACAAAGGGGTTGTTACTCATACTTTAGAGAGTGTGGGTTGGAGGGCAGAGGTCCTTTCCTGCCATGGGATGGACACAGTGGCGTTCACACAGCTGGACGTGTCTGGATTGCAGAGTGTGTCTGCTGGACAGCAGTGGACATGATCCCCACAGCATTCAGCCTGTCAAGAAAGGAGTAGCAGGAACATTTTGACTACCAAAGTTTCTACGGCTATCTCACACTCTGAATAAGGCCAGGTATCTTATCAGGCTCATATAGTAGTAAAACGCCATCCAGGATGAATAGCACTACTATAGAGTCATTTCTAACGAAACATTATCTTCTTTTATGTTAATTTAACTTAGACATGAACCTCATTAGGACAAAACACTGAATCATAGCTGGATGTACAGGATGAGTATATACATAAGTCAATAATACTTTGATGATAACAGATGTATAGTATAATACCTTGTTGGGCTATTTTTTTCCCACTTAAAAAAGAAACTGGGGTTAAAAAAGGTGACAGTTAAGAAAGAAGAAGAAATGTTGCAAACTTCCTGCTACTGCTAGCTCAGCCAGTCTTTACTAGAGTTTAGGAAAGAATAAGAAACTTGTTAATTTGGGGGGTTTGGTTGAGTCTGAGCTTTTAGTTTTTGCAACATTTAGAAAAGAACACTTAATTGGAGGAAAAAAAAGGGGTAACTTGAATTTTGGCAACTGTCTCTTTCAGGTTAATTCAAACAACAGATTAATAAGAATTTCAGAAATAAGTTGACAAGTGTTGTATCTAAGATACATTTGAAAAATAAAATAGATTATTTGTTTGTATGCACTCTAAAGAACATAGACTCAGTTCTGTCTTTATACACGGTATAAAAATATATGATGATGATGATGATGATGATAAACGTCTTGTTTTTACATGCCAGCAGTAGATACATAGTATTGTCCCACAGTAGAGAGTTATTTGGATGCTTAGAGAAGTTTGGTGTGCAACCACATGTACCTGATCAAACGGGCAGCATCCATAGCCATTGTTTGGGCTGCTACAGCAGGTTTGACCCTCTTCACAACTGCCTCCATCTGGACACTCATCTGCACAAACCAGGGCAAAGGCAGCCCAACAGATCACAACCCAGGTCTTCATCTGCAGGCAAGGAAAACCATTCAGAACGGGAAGTAACAAATTAATGAGGATAGTGAAACTAAAAATCCCCCTTTTCTATTGGACTTTTCCAATGGACCTAAAATTGTCACTGGTTACATTAAACAGCTGCCTAATTCTAGATTATCATGCATTGCTGATTAATTAAGGAAAAAACTTTGAAATGTTGCTTTTAATGACAGATCTATTAAGTTTTTTTCTGATTTATTATACTGCTTATTATTCTTTTTTCTACCTAGGCAGAAACTATTTTGACACTCCCCAACTGTCTCAGTGACTAATCATTATTTATTTCCTGTAGTAGTGCTTCTTGAAATGTTCATTCACATTGTCTTTTTTTCTCAACGTCAACCATCTGTTGCATAGAAAGTATAGCTCAAAAGAATTGCATATACGCGCACATCATAAAAGAAGCGCACATACAGAAAGAAAACAAAAAAAATGTTTTTCTTCTATGAATAAATAACCTTTTTAATTTAAAACACAAAGCTTTTTGCATTTTTCCAATGGATAAAGAAAAATTGATTTTGCATTGTTCTTACCTTTGTTAGGGACAAGAGGCTGCTGTGAACTGTTCAAACCTTCACCAGTGCGTCTCACCACAGTGAATCCCTGGTGAGTCCACAAGTCCTGGCATCATCCTGAGCACGCCCCCATCACAGGCCGAGGGGAGGGGAGAGGTGGATCCTTCTGTCTTTAGTGCGGAACTCATATCATATAATGTTTTTTCCCCCCAGTGTATCTTTATAATTGCAGTTTTAACATCAAGCAACAAAATGTACCTTTGCAGGAAACGGTTAACTAACCTGACTGTAACCTTGTTTATGAAGCTGCTGATGCAGCCAGGTATTTTACATTCCACTAGAGGGCGCCAAAGCTCCGAAAAGAACAGAAGGCGGAAGTAAAGCCCCTCTTTAGTGCTGATCTACAAACTATTCGTTCATTCCAGAAGCCCAAGCCGGTGCCAACACTTGTTTTTGAAATCTGCGTTAAGCGTACGTGAGGAATGTTTGTGCCAGACCAATCTTAGATAATGTTTTGCATTTCGGGTACTCTGTAATGGAGCGCCTAAATAGGTCGAATTACTGCAAATTTAGTAACTGATATGGGTGAAGACACCTATATTTCACAAAGAGCCTGGCAGCCAAAGTAAGAGGTGGGTAACGTCAGTTCCTTATTTAATGTAAAGCATTTCAGTTTGTAAATAGCAAGATGGCTACCGAGCTAAAATGCATTTAGCGGCTAGCTAAACACCCATATTTTGAGAACTCTTTCACGGTGCATTTCTAAATAAATATTCCGTCTGGAAATAGCTGTTCCTGCTCACCTATATTTTATTTATAATTCTATCTCAGTTTATTAATTATTATTTTTCACCAAGCTAACGGTAAGATCGAAAGACACTGAAGCTGGTGTTAGATTGTGGACTTCAACGAAGAGCTTTTCCGCTGTTTTCAGTGAGCTCTCAATTTTGGACCATGTTATTTTAACGTATTTGGATATTCTGAATAAAGCTGTTTGAACTTCAGGTTTAGAACTACACAATAACGTTCAATCTTAAAAAAGAACGTGGTGTACCGCTGCAGGTTTTTATTCACTAAACCATTCCATTTTTTAATCCATCTGGAAGTCAGAGTGTGGGGTTTAGAGTTTTATATAAAAAACACCCGGTCAGTATTTGGGTGTTTTATTCTATTGAAGGATTTTGGCTTATATGTACCAACAGCATACCCCATGTGGCTGTGATAATGAACACATAATGGTGTAATCATCTCCAGGAAGTGGAGCGGAAACGCAGAATACACCCTTCCTCTTGCACCATCAGGCCTTTAGGGGAACCAGTTAAAGGCGGCTGTCACTTGTTGTGTATCTGGAGGGGAGGCCTTTTTCCCTGGCTGCTCAGTGAGATTGGAAGCGGCATGCATGTGAAAGATAAGCTATCAAAATGCTTCAAGGACCTTGTTTTAACAACTCCACCTAGACATATCCTGCTCAGTTTGAAAACAAGCAACTCAGGCTTAAATGCAAGGTAAATGTGTTGTTTATTATTTAGTTTTTTATTCAACTTTACCTAAGTTGGATGTCAGCAACACATTTTTGGTTTTTAGTATTAGATGTCTGATGTTTTTGGAAGTCCATTCACAAACTGCATTGGATTGTTGATTTTTTTTTTTTACACTCCTCCTTCATTAGCTTGCTCAGGGACCAGTTAATGGTGACGGTGCATGATGTTTTTCGGCATGATCTGCTATTTTGTATGTTTGTATGTTTTGGTTTTGACAGGTGGGCAGGATGGGGGAGCGGACCGTTGGCGGCCCTGTGGCTGCGATCTCTCCAGTGCAGCAGATGTTGGCCTCTGGCACTGGAGCCCTCCTCACATCTCTCTTTGGTTAGATTATAGAAACGAGAAAAAGCGCCGTAGAGTTTTTTTTTTTAAACTGGTTTTTGTGTGTTTTTTTTTCTGTCATTTGCACATATTTGGCTGCTTCTGTCTTGTGATTTGATGTGGGGTTCTGTTTACAGTCACTCCACTGGATGTTGTGAAGATAAGGCTGCAGGCTCAGCAAACACCTTTCCGCCAAGGTAGAGACAACTGTGAATTTTTTGGCTTTTTATATATATATTGAGCTTATATCTAACTGCTTTTGCATTTAAAACTAACCCCTCCATTCTGCTGTTTTTTTCTGCTGCACCCTGGCTTTTTCCAGCCTTAGGCTGTAAATCTGCTCCATGGGTCGGCGTCAGTCGCTCTTCCAAATGTGAGTATTGATCTGCTGCAGCAGCACAGCCAGTCTATCAGTAAGAAAATATTTCCGTTCAGCTAGATAAACAATTTCTGCTTGTGAAGCTAAAATAACCTTGTTTGGTTTTAACTGCTTCAACCCAAAAAAGCTGTAACAAGGTTACTGCTGGTTTATCTGACGAGTGTCAATGTCATTGCCCCTCATTTGTTGTTTCACTTGAATATTCTGAGACCCAAAGTTGGATAAAAAAAGTAAATCTCAAGGTTAATGAGTAACTGTGGTCATGCAGGTTATGCATGCTCTGTTGTCTCTTTTCTTTACTCTTGTTGTTTTCTCTGCAGGGAAGTGCTTTCTTTATTGCAATGGGCTGATGGACCACCTCTATGTGTGTCGGAATGGAACCAGTTGCACCAACTGGTATGGAAAGCCAACACATTTCAGTGGCACTCTGGTGAGTGGCATCATCTTTCCGCCTTTTTTATATTATTTTTCTGATGAAAAAACATGATTTATCAACATGTTTCTATTGTTATTTATTTATTTATTTTGCTTTTTAACACAGGATGCTTTTGTGAAAATCAGCCGCCATGAAGGGCTCCGGTCGCTGTGGAGTGGGCTCCCACCGACACTGTGAGTGTTTAAAGGAACTCGTTTTAAGTTCCGGAGGGAGTTCTTAAAACCAGTCGACCTCTGCCCCCTCTGAATTTGGTTAATGTAAAATCTAGTGATGCACGATATTAAGATTTTGGCCGATATCCGATATGCCGATATTTTAAAACTCATGTAGCCGATAACCGATATCGATACCGATGTTAAAGCTGGACAAAAATAAGTAGTCATTGAAAATAGCAGTTTTGTTATCCATTTCTGACACTTTGAAAAATAATATACTGAAATTTATTCTCATATGCTGATATCCAATTGATTTTTAAAAATGCGGTATCGATCTATTTTAATTTCAAAATCTCGTGAAATTTCATCGTTCTGTTACAAACTCTCGTGATATTTTGCAAATTCTTGTGAGATTTTGTTAGTAAAATAGATCGATACCGTGTCAATATATAACATATAAAAATATGGCAAAATTTCATTAATTTTCGGGGTATTTCATAGCATAACGATGACATAAAGCAATATTTCATTAGTATAAGAGATTGATATGGTGTTTTTAAATGGCAATATATCAGCATATGAAGATATTGTGATATTTTAATGTATCAATATTTTTTGACGTTATTACGTCATGTAATAACAGCCTTCCCTTTAAGCAGACGGAAAACTGCTTCTGACTTTGCAGAAATGAAACCGAGGCAAAGATTATTTTTGTTATCTGAACAACATTAAGTAAGCAAACCTAACTGGGTTTCTGGGTTTGTGTAAACAGAACACCGTGATCTTTTCCTTGGTTTTAGTTCTTACTTTTTTTTTCTCAAATAAGCAGTACATGAGACTAACATCTGAATGCAGTGCTGGAGCTGCAAGGAGAGTGGCGACCTAGTGCTTAGGGCATAGAGCTTGAAATCCTGAGGTTCCAAACAGGAAAGTCAAACTTTACGATACATTGACTAGAAAAAACAAAAACGGCAAACAGGAACAAGAAGAAACAGAGGGGCTGTTAAAGGGTCAGAAAGGAGATCCCATCCCGGTGACCTTTGCTGCATCTCTTCTAGCTCTCTCTAATCCAATTTCCTGTTTGCCTACTATCAGAAATAGCAAAAAAATAATAAAGCCAACTAGTGGTTAAAATAAGTTCAAGAAAAGTTTTCTAAAGATCTCATTTCTATGATCATCCATTAGTAGGAAGGCTTCTGTTATTGAATGTTTCCTCCAGGTTTTGCAGCTCGGATGATATTTATTATCCATTTCTAATGTTGGAATCCTGTTTGTCTCAGCAGATTATGTTTTTATATATGATAAAAATGAAACTTTCATGATGAATAGGAATGCTAAGTTTTATGTTCATTTGTGTGTGAAGGGTCATGGCAGTTCCAGCCACAGTCATCTACTTCACCTGCTACGACCAGCTGAGGGATTTCCTGAGGTTTGGTCTGGGCCTTCAGGGCAGCTACGTCCCTCTTCTTGCTGGAGGTCTTGCCAGATGTAAGGAATAAACCCAGAAACCCTCTCCTTCCTGAGTCATGTTGACTTTAATCTCAATGTTTGCATGTGATGTTTTGGTCACAGTGGGAGCTGTGACAGTGATCAGCCCACTGGAGCTGGTCAGGACCAAAATGCAGTCCAGGAAGCTGACCTACAGCGAGCTGCGGGTGTGCATCCGCTCGGCTGTGGCTCAGGACGGCCTGCTGTCTCTGTGGAGGGGCTGGGGACCCACCGTTCTTAGAGATGTACCTTTTTCTGGTAAGACATGTTCGCCTTTTAAGATCCATTACCAGAAACTAAAGCGTACGATTTAATATTGATTGATTGATATAGTAATACTGAAGAACTAAAAGTTTTCCTTTTAACTTAATGTAAAAATTACATTCCCTGCTATGCAACAAGATTAATTGGACCTTTTTAAACACTATTTGTGGATTGTTGCAATCTAGGAGTTATATCTTTTGAATTATTAAAAAAACAAACAAAAAAAGCCAGAGATAAGAACAAGGGCTGAAACAATTAATCGAATAATCGTCCACCAGTTTAGTGATTGATTAATCATTAACTGGAGTACAAAGTCTGTACTGTAGTAGCCATTAAACATTTTTCCATTTTCCTTAAGGTCCTTTGCTTGTACTAAAATATTCTTTCTGTCACGATTTGAGGACATTAAGAGCTAAAGAGAAGCGCCATCTCCTGGTCAGACCCTGTAATTCAGTAAAAGTCTGGAGTCAGTTAAAAAATATGTTGGGTTCAAGGAGGGGATTTTGCTGGGAGTTCCAGGGGAGTGGTCTGCCATTCGGCTGGTGTTTGACTGGGAACGGCCATTTTAAATGGCTGCTGCTGTAATACAGGCCTTTAGCTGAAAGAGCAACCCACTTAGAGCAGTAATTACATCAAAATTGTAAAAAAAATGATCAATATTCTCTATCCAGAACTGGAAAAGTTTGAATTTCACTTGGTTTAATTTCGTAAAAAGTCTTCAGTAAGGAATCTTTTGCTATCCGATTATCAATGGATTTGCAAAATAATAATTATTTGCAGCCATTCTCAGAACGGTGTGACTACCTGTAGAGCAGTATTCTCTGCCAGGACTCTGTAATAACGCCAACTGTGTTCTACTTCCAGCTTTGTACTGGTTCAACTACGAACTGGTGAAGGCCCAGCTGTGTGACCAGTACCGAACGCCACAGGCCAACTTTTCCATCAGCTTTACTGCAGGAGCCATTTCTGGAGCTGTGAGTAGTCAGCAGTAGTGTTAACACATGTTCTTCATAAAACACAAGAGGATAGCTGAGTGTTTAAGGGCTGTGCTGGATCAGGATATCATTCTTTCATATCAATCAATATAGAAATGACTGAAGTTCTTGGTTTACCTATTTTAAAATAAGGATCAGGAGAGAAAAAACTGGCAACTAGAGGTTGAGAGGTTAAATATTTTCCTCTGCCTACATCCTTCAGAATACTGTGTGGTTCTAGAATAGAATAGAAATTTCCTTTATTCTCCCACAATTAGGGAAACTGTGGTGTTACAGCAACAAAAGTCATCACAAAAATTTAGACCTTAAAAAGTGTATAAAAATAACAATAAGTGACAGTAAAAAAATAAATATATATAGTACTGTACAATGCTTTTACTGTATCTATATATATAGATATATACTGGTATAAATGGTTCAGAGTTCAGTGGAATTATTGAAAACTTTACATTTTTTCTATTCATATTCATCAGGTCTTTGTCATTAAACAACATTTCCTGCAAGCTGAAATCTTTCAGTATTTGTGGTTTCACAAACACGAGAATCCATCTTAGCCCAGGATTGTACGCCTGGCTTTTTAATCAGGAGCAGTAGTGCTCCCAAATGGGGCACTATGAATTTTCTTAAATAGCACCATAAAAAAAAAAAAAAAGTAAAATGAACCTGGGTGTTGATTCATGTTTCATGAGGCTGTCTTTTTTTTTAAAAAATGGGTCACAAACACCAAATTACCTGCCTGGTTCTGTCCTTTGCAATATAAGTTTGTCCTACTCCTCAACCCAAGGGAAGAGCTTGATGCAATCTTATTCAAACATTTAAACCTTGTTAGCAGTGTTGCTATAAAAATAATCAGTGTTGGAACTTTGGATGTCTGTAGATTAGGGATGGGACGATTTATGAAAACCGTCAGAATCGTTCGGTTCGACTGTCTCGGTTCGGTTTGCGTGTGTTTCGTTCGGTTCATGCGCTGCTCCTTTTTCTCATAGAGGAAGCGATTACACTCCAGAGCAGAAGGTGGCAGTGTTGCGACCAAAGCCAACCGCCAGTAGTAAACAAGAATCAGTTGTTGTGGAGAATTGTGTCGGACTGGCGAGTGGGAAAGAACAGGAGTTGGAAGACGCGCCAGCAGCACTTTATAGGTCTGCTGTATGGGAGCGCTTTGCATTTAGAGTGACCTACGATGACAGCGGAAAGAAAGTTGTGGATAAAAGTGCAACAGTGTGCAAGCATTGTGCAACACGTTTTGTTTATGCCAATAGCAACATGTCATGCTAACCCCGAAATCCCTCATACTCCGTCAGCAACCCCCGCTCCGCCCCGCTGCGCTCCAGACCGGCTGCTCAAAGCAAAGCCTACAGCCCCCACTGTGGCTCCCTCCGTCCGCTCCCCTCTGAGTCTCTTGGAGATGGTAGAGAGCATGCGCCAGATGATTAAATTCAAAGCAGCAAAACATACAGAAATGATCCAGGGTTTCTGCGGATCATTTAAAATAATTACAATCCATTATTTTTTGGGGGATTTTTTCATTAATTTCATAAATTTTTATGGGATTTTGGTGTAACAATCAACATGTATCGAATCGAACTGAAAACCGTGACCAGAAACCGTGAATCGAACCGAACCGTGGATTTTGTGAACCGTTCCACCCCTACTGTAGATGTTTTTTTTTTTCTGCTCTCTGACTTTAAAAATGGGCTGCAGTGTTTTGGAGGAGGAAGGGGCTCGCTCTCTCACTATTTGCCAAAGATGCTAAAAGAGTCCTCAGAGCTATCGTCGCCTGTCTTCAAAAAGACTTTCTTATTTAACAAAAAAAGTCTGAAAAGTTGCTAAATGTAATTCTCCTGCCTCTGAGCTGATTGGCGTCTTACCGGCATGTGTTTCAGGTTCTTTTAGCAGTTTCTCATGTTTATGTGCTGCCGGAAATCTGTAAGGCAACAACGACATTTCATAACTGGTTCCTTAATTATTTTCCCCATACAAATTGACCAGTTGACTTTTTGGAAATGTATTTCTTTTCTTCTTAATAAACAACAAACTGATATCTTATTTAAATGAAGCCTGACTTGTTTTAGGAAATGGAGATGAAATCTGTGCTCCTATTTTAATTATTTTTATTCTATTCTTACTTGTACCAATCTATTTAAGGTGCAAACGGGAGTAAAGTAGTTGCACTATACAGTCCTGTGACCCTCTTCAACTGTTTGACCAATCATGTTGCAGTATTATGGTATAAGGCATGTAGCTGTGAGGAAAGTGACATTCAACAGCTAAACCAGCACAGGAGGTTGTAGGTATATAACTGCTGTCAGATCGGGTTTTCATTGGTTAAACTACATAAAAATATCTGTCCTTTCCCTGAACAGCTTTGATCGGAGCAGACCAGTTTGATGATTCGTAGAACTAAACCTGACTGCTACGCATGATCAGTCTGGCTGCAGGGTTCATGACTATGGTTTTGGATTGATTTTTTTTTTTTTGCCCAGCCTTGGTATCTATCATTCCCTCCTCTCCCTCCATCCCTCCTAAATGCTAACACGGTTCCAACATTTTGCGTCTTTCCATCACTTTTCCTTAAACTTTCACCTGTCTTGAATATTCCTCACAGTGCGTGTTTGGGTTTTTGTGTTTTCAGATCGCTGCCATCCTGACGCTGCCGTTTGATGTTGTGAAAACTCGAAGGCAGATCCAGCTTGGAGAACTGGACTCCTTGGGAGGTCTGTGTGCTTACATGCTTAGTTTAGGACGGGTTACAATCTTCTTTTTGTTCTAAACGGATTCTGCTCTGCTTGTTAACAGCTTCCAAAAGGGTAACCACTTCCACCTGGCACATAATGAAGGAAATCTGGTCTGAGTTGGGTTACAGAGGTCTCTTTGCAGGTACACACATCGCCATTTGTTGAATAACGTCCCTTGTTTTTGTTAGGAAGTGAGAATATTGTTGTTTTGTTTTTATCTAGGTTTTATGCCCAGAGTGATCAAAGTCGCTCCAGCTTGTGCGGTAATGATCAGCAGCTATGAGTTTGGGAAGGCCTTCTTCCAAAAGGTCAACCTTGATCAGCAGCGACTGGTGGCGTGAACTTGGTCAGCAGGCTGGCCTGGATCCATTTTTCTTAGAACATTTAACATGAGGTTCATTGTTTGTGGAAGGGTCTCTCACTTTGCAGACTGCTTCTTCTGGAAAAACAAAAGACATGCCTGTAACCTTCACATCCTACTGAGCCTCCATCCCCAAAGACTCTGGACTTAATGCATGTTTTAAAACATTAAAGGTTGGAAGAAAGGTTTCAATGCTTTGATGAGGAGATTTCATCTTTAAAAGTGAAACCACTGTGCATATATGAGTGGCGCACACTCATAAAGACTGCAATGTGATCTGTATTCTAGCATAAACCAGATAATCTGAAGGCTGATTCTTTTCCGTACAGAGTCCAGATAAGATTCTTCTCCCTGCTCCTGCATATTTCATCTGTTGTCCTGTTGCAGTAAAACATGACAATTTTCACACTTGTCTGCTATGTAGATACTTTAAAGATGCTGATTTAATTATTTTCCATGTGTTAATAAATGCATCCAGAACAACAGATTCATATGTATGTCTGAAAATACAAGAGTTTATGACAAGAGACACAGTAATTTATGAGGATACACTCACCCACTGACGCAAAATTTTAAGTGAACATGAGTGGACTACTTGTGGGGTTTCATTTGTTCATGAAACGGCATCAGAGCAACTGTTTGGGCAATTATTTAGGTCAATAGAGACCTTTTAGCCGATGGGTGATCCTTGAGTTAATGGCGTTCTGGAGACCGAGTTCTTAAGACACGGGACCATAAAACAAAACGTCAGCCTTCATTTGAAGATGTCCATTTTGTTTCTGTTTTATAGACTTGAATTGAAATAAAATGCTACAACCTGATTTTTGTTCATGTACTAATACTTACACAGGGGCTAGGTGGCAGATGCACAACGGGAAAAAATAGCACCTCTTGTTTGGATTTATCACTTTCATTGGATATTCACTTTATTTGGATTTAGTTTTTACATATGCATATATATATATATATATATATATACATACAGGAGAGCTATATGTTTATATATTTGATTTCTTTTTATTCTTATTTTTTATCTTTATTATATTGTGTAGTTGGATGTGTGTGTATATATAAAACTGTAACTGGAGCGTGTATCAAAAGTAATTTCCCTCTGGGATTGTTAAAGTATTTCTGATTCTGAACTTGAATCTGACTAAATAGATAAAACATTTATAAAAAGGAATAAATGAAAGTAACACATTGTTTTTCAACAAAAGTATTTAAAATATTAGGTACCCCCTAGAAAATACTGAAAATAATGTGAACAAACTGACATTTTAAATCAAGGTGTGTCCACCATTAGCAATAGAGGTGTCTACAATCTAGTTATCAGCCAGTGGGCCTGTATACAGGACAACAGGTAGTCCCTGCTGTTTGATGACGTGGTGTGTACCACACTCTACATGGACCTGGAGGAGGCAAAGTGAAGAGTTTTCTTGGGAAGTTAGGACAAACATATTAAAGTTAAACTAACACTATAAGACCATCTCCAAGCAGCTTGATGTTACTGTGACTATGGTCACACATATTTCCAAAATTAAGATCATATTTGGCTGCAGGGGGAAAACGGATGGAAAAAGAGACAAGTACTACAAATGGGGGAAAAAAAGCCCATGCACAAAAAATTTTGAAGAGATTAAAGGTGAACTTCAAGCTCAAGTAACCAAGGTAAATGCTGCCATTAAAAAAAGAATAAAATAGCTTGACTGGAATCTGCCAAACTGTGTTACATAGGAGAATTTCCTATGGACAGATGAAACGCAAAGGGAACCTTTTTTTAGGCAAATCAGGCCTATTTTAATAGAAAAAGTAAGCATATAAAGAAAAGAACACTGTCCCTACTGTGAAACAAGGAGGAGGCTCTGTTATGACCTGGGCTGGTTTACTTCATCTGGCAAAAGGTGTCTGAATCTCTGAAGGGTACAATGAAATCACAAGACTATCAAGGGATTCTAGAGAGAAATGTGCTGCCCAGTGTCCGAAAGCGTGGTCTATGTCACAGCTCACGGGTCTTCAAAATGATAGTGACTAAAAAACACAGCTAAAAACACCCAAGAATGGCTAAGAGGAAAACATTGAACTATTCTGAATTGGCCTTCAAGAACCCTGACCTGAATCATATTGAGCATCGGGATGGAGCAACAAATAATCTGGAAAAGGCACACTTAAAACATCAGACAACTGGAGCAGTTTGCTCAGGAGTGGCGAAAAATACCTGCTGAGAACAGCAGAAGGAAATGTTTGATTGCAGTTATTGTTTCAAACGGTTGTGCAACAAAATATTAAGTTAAGAGTGTCATCATATATGTCCAGGCCTGTTTAAAGAGTTTATTCTTGTAATCATTCTTTTAAGGCATGGTGTAAAAGCAATGTCTGAATTGAATATGTTCATTCTTATATAACATTTAAGTATTACTGTATTCATTTAGTCAGATTCAAGTTATTTCTGTTAACTTTGAGGGTTTGTCTTTCATTAAACGAGGGGTACCAACAATAAGGGGTTTCATTGGGGTCTTAAAAAGTCTTAGATTTGAGTCTGTGACAACTGCAGAAACCTCTTCATAAAAGGACATGCACTGCGGGGCTGATCAACACATTGCAAAAATCTAACTAAAACATTTGACTGCCTTTTTAAAATTGTAAAAGATGATATGAGGATGTCAGAAATTAGATTTGTTGCATTTTTTGTAAAAAAAAAAATTCCCCAATTCACCACAATAAGTGTTAAAAACACATTTTCATCCATTCAGATCGAACAGGTTAGGGTACATATCAAGATATGACTTAAAAGCCACGTATTCATTTATTTTTCATACATCCCCTTTCCTTACACCTTACAATTAATTTATTTGCTGTAACAAAACATTCAAAAACTTGAATAATGTTGTAAAAGCATTATTCTCTGAACAATCTTAGCTTTTAAAGTGCCTTGAGATGACATGTGTTGTGAATTTGGCGATATATAAATAAACTGAATTGAATTGAATTTTAGCTGTTGGAAACTTGAGTTTTTCTCTTTTAATTAAAGCGAATAAATGTTTCTGTTTAGATAGTAACAGCAAATAAAAGCCCAATCAGGATACTAAAATGTGTTATAAATGAAGTAAATTTTAAATAAAAAAAATGTTCCTGACAAATGAATGTATGTGTTGTTTGTGTGAACAGCGACACCAAGTGGCTGAATTGGTGTTTTTATGGAGGCGGGGCTTTTTTAGAAAACTATCACGCAGAATCGCGCGATACTTCCTCTGCTATATATTGATAGTTAGCCGACTTTACGGCCTCTTTCAATCGGACGGGAGACGAAATGGTGAGAAGCTGCCCTTTTAGCTTTGTAGTTGACAGCGCTATCCAAAGTCTATCTTATCCATCGTTCACATTTACATATACAAAAATAGTTAGACCGTCAGTCTTAAAGCTTATGAATACTTTCTTACAGCCATTTTTAGTTATTTGATGTTATTTTGCTTACTCATCTGAGTATTGCATGTGTAGACTTCCTGGTGGCCCTGAATCCAAAATGGCTGGCCTAACCACGCCGAAAAGATATATGTTAAATAACAGATTACTGTATAAACACTAGGTTTGACCCAATTGCTAAAGTAACTTGAAATAAGTGTTTGGTGTTTATGGTTTAACGGGGTCAAGCTAAGGGACTTAATGGCTTGACAATCGAGGCGAGCTACTTGTATAAATGTAGGTAATTTTTATTATTTGTTTTTTGTTAGCTAACTGGTTGTTAAATATTTACAGTCCCACCGTAAGTTTTCGGCTCCGAGACACGGATCCCTGGGCTTCCTGCCTCGCAAAAGAAGCCGCCGCCACCGCGGTAAGGCCAAGAGCTTCCCCAAGGATGACCCCAGCAAGCCTGTGCACCTGACCGCCTTCCTCGGCTACAAGGCCGGCATGACCCACATTGTCCGTGAGGTTGACAGACCTGGCTCAAGTAAGCATCCTTTCAGAATAAACTATTGAACATTTTCTATTTTTGATGTTCAAAATGTCCACAACTAAAATCAGACCACCAAGTTTTAAAATATAAATCGTAATCCAAGGTTAAATTGCCATACACTGGACTGTGTCCAGAAAATTCTTAGCCTGGATTTATGCAGTCCTTTTTATTAGAATAATGGAAAGGTGAGTGTTGCATGTTGTCTCATATGCAGCGACCTATCTGGTTTATTAAGACTTTCCAGAGCTTAGAAATTATAAATTGGTAGCTTTTAGAGTATGCATTTATTTTTTTGCACTATAAAAGCTGTGGTAATTTGAATTTTTTTATTATTTTTTATGACTAGTTTGTTTATAGATGAGTAACTGTCATAGAGGTTGTCTTGCTCTTTATGGAACAAGAATTAAAATGAAGATTAAATTATTTTAGTGTTAAGCCCCTAGCTTGAGGTTATTTGAGTGTATGCTCTCTTCTCAAATAAGGCTTTTAGTTCATATAGTTAAAAGACTGACTGGGTGCCAAGTGGGCTTGGGAAAAAAAAGACTAGTCGGCTAGTTTCTGGATATACATTTTTATTGGTCAAAATGTAAAAAGGATAATTTTTCAGAAATGGAGCATCAAAAGGGTTAATGCAAATTATCAGGGGACAACGGGACATGTAACCAGTCCTTTGTTCAAATGAGGAATTAGCAGATGGAGACCTGATGGTAATGAGGCCTTTCTTTTAGGGGTATGATGCTGCAAGCTCAGTCAAACCAAATATTCACAACGTTCGATGTGTTATTCGCCTTCAAAATATCTTGATCTTCAAAGCTCTGCCTATGATGAGACTCTCGACGGGCGGACAGAATGGGTCTACACCCCTTGCTGAATGTCGAGTCCTGAGCGCAGCAAATGCAGGCTGTGCAGTGACGTGTTGGCTTTTTGGTTTTCTAAAATGACCATGGGTTTTTGTTCTTCTTCCCAACGCAGAGGTCAACAAGAAGGAAGTGGTCGAGGCTGTCACCATCCTTGAGACCCCTCCCATGATCGTGGTCGGCGTCGTAGGCTACGTTAACACCCCCCGTGGTCTGCGTTCCTTCAAAACCATCTTCGCCGAGCACATGAGTGACGAGTGCAAGCGTCGCTTCTACAGGAACTGGTGAGTTTTTACTGAAATTGGAAATGTTTTAGTTGTTGAA